CACCTCAGCACATTTTCTTGTGTAAATCCATCTTAAGTAATTAATTATTAGTTGCCACTTAATAATACATATTCCCACCTATACTACATAACACTGTACTGAATACAGTTATATTGATGGCTGTGGACTGTCTACAATATCTATTACTTAATTGCAGCTTCGCTGTTGATGTAAGAGATATTGTTTTAATAATTTAGTAAAATAATATTTAAATGTCATATTAAAAATGTCAATGAATGTCAATAATTATTCTAAATCTCTAATTTCTAATTATAATTATAAAATACAATATAAGTGTTAATAAATAATAATACTTATGCACAACTCAACTCTCAATCATAGCGCTTTTGACAGTAAAAATAACATGATATACAAAATTATAAACTTTAAACGTGTTAAAAAATAAATGTGAAGTTCAGTAATAACTCAAGCGTATATTAGTATGTATAATCATAATCAACGTGTTGTGTTAGATATATATTATACTCGCTACTTAAAAATGTAAACGCTTATGAATAGTAGGTACCACCTCAAATCCTTGAATACCGAATGAATGAAATTACTTTTACCTTTTTAAAATACACAATAATATATTGTAATATAAAAAAACATTCTTATTTTTGAATAGTCTTAAATTAAGTATTTTTCAATTAATATTTCTATATTGTAAATTTAATTTTTAGATTATATTAATGTTCGGTTAATTAGTAATATATTTTCCATACTTTATAAATTAACAATTCCTAATTTTGAAGACCAAATTTCTCATAAGCCATAGTCTATAATATATATTATAACTGACAACAATTATATGTATAATATTGTATAATATACACGGGTTCAGATACATAATCTATATTTTAGTTGAAAATATCTATTTACGTACTCAATATATTATAGAAACATAATTTACATAATAAATATTTATTTATCGTACGAAATTAATAGTGTTTTTTTTATTTTAGAAAATACCAGTCCTGTCAAAAATTACATCTATCAGACACCTGAGCAAATATCAACCATACAGTTTGAAAATGAGATTTCACCCGTTGCTACGAACGGCAATTTAAACAGACCTTGCGCTTGGCAAAATAGTAAGTACATTAGGTAGGTAATTACCTACTTACTTAACACATATATCTTGGGTAATGCGTATGTATATGCTATATATATTGGTACCACCGAACATACCCTCCCATGTCCTTGCATGTATTGTGAGACATATGATTGCAATAAAAAATAAAATGTTGAAAACGATTCTGTGAAAACTCTTTCTTAAATGTTAAGCAAGTGTCATTTTTTGTACACTTATACTTGACACTCGTTTTGTTTTGGTGGCAATTTGTCTAGTCTAACTGTAAAACAACATGCACAGTACGCGCTTAATATAAATTATAATAAATAACAATATAATGATAATATTATTATTATTAACCTGAAACGATGTATGTTAGTCATTCACAATTAATAGAACCTAAATCTTTTATTTTTCTTATATGAAATTGTCATAATAAGTCGTCATGTCATTAATTTGTTGCGTAATACTATCTAGGATACTTATGGGGGGGGGGGGGGGGTACGTGTCTTCATATTCAGATATAAGATACATGATAAAGTGTGATGTTTTTTAAATAATAATAATAATAATAATAATAATATAAATATAGCTCATCTCCATCGATAAAAAATTAATAATTATATTTACCAGATAAGCTCGACGGGTCATTATGTTTAATTATAATAGAATAATTTACTGTAAAAATAGTACTATAATATAGTAGTAAAACAAAATAACCCTTAAGTCTCAAAGGTCGATGTAAGCATATATTTTGTTAACCACCGATGATCTTTTAAATTTTTTATAAATGTACTCATACGAGTTAAACATAAATATTAAATATAATATAACCGTGTTGTAAAATACTATTATGTTGATGTTATAAGGTTTCTGTTGGTCTGTTGTTGATGGTAATTCAATATACCATAATAATATACCTAATGTACATGTGAATAGGTATTTCATGTGTTAGGATCTGAGACTGATATTTAAAAAAAATGTACAGGCCTAACTAAATCAGTTAACATTTGTAAATGTTTAGCCTTACCATTTTAGCCACCCCACACCCAATGGGCAATGGCCTATGTTTCCACGGGTTCCCCCTAATAAAAAAAATTTTTAAATGTGTGTGAACAATGATTTTAGATAATAGAGGTTAATGTATTATAAGTATTTAGTCAAAATTATGCCGAGTTGTAGGCAACGCAATATATTAGTTTATCTAATTACCCACCTATTGTATTATAGAAATTCGAATAAATTAAAATAAAATATTACGTATTCCTAGTACCTGAAAATTAAAAGATAATAATTGTTATTGTTGCATGTGAGACGTGCGTACTTTTATTCAATTCAAATTTCAATTGTTATATTTCTCAAAGGAACTGAACATATAGTATAATAATAAGGTATATGGATATAATGTCATATAATAGTCTTATTTCACTGTACACAGTCGTTAAAATGTACGCTGCTTACCTACGTATAGAACTCAATTTATTGTTATTATAATATCTACAGTGTTCTGTGGTAGGTATATTCTTCCAGAAGCTAATAATAATAATAATAATATGGCATCACGGGAGGGTGGATATTTACTAAACAGGAGATTACGCCGTTATTACAGGATTGCATGTCAATATTTTATTACCTAGGCAGCGCCTTTCACTTTATACTCGTATTTTTATTTATATTTTTTAGTATGAAAATATAAAGACAGCCCTCGTCGTCAGTTAAACTAGAACATGTACCAACATGTTAAGCTTTAACCTACTTGTTCAAAATTGGCTTACATAATAAAATCAACATCAGATATTACTGTAACTGAATTACTTACCGAGACAAATATATTGTACTATATTAAAGCCTTTAACCTAACATGTTTTTGTTATATTATATACATATATTTATTTTTATACGGATTTTCTATGTATCGACTATCGATAAATAGATTTCCACTTTCTGGTGTCAAAACTCTTAAAATTTATAGGAATATCCAATTTTTTAATAATACTTAAAAACATAAAATATAAGATATTATGTATTATTTATACATAGATAATGTATAGCTGCACTAAAAATTGGCACTCTTTGTTCTTATTAAAACTAGTCAGCTTGTGACAGACACAATTTTTTTATCGATGGACCTACGCAATATATAATTTATTATTTTATTTCGTATATAGGTATTTACTTATCTTATAACTTAAACAAATTGTAGGTTTAATTAATAATTACTGAAAATGCATTTTGTCTACAACTGCTTTAACGGGAATTAGAATGTTTAACAAAAATTAATACACGTACTTTTACATGATTTGATTACTTGATATTTATGATATTATTATAATATACAGGACATATACCGTTTTTGCATTTATGAACGTCACATCAAATATATTACTCACTAAAATGTATAAAGTCATAGAAAAACGTCATATGTATTATTATGATTGTTGGAATTTGTTATGTGTGTTTAGTGTTTTTATTGGTGGAAAATAAACTATGTATTTATATATATAAAGTGACGGAGGGAAGAGCCTCTTCCACCCCCGAAGGCTGTCCCCACCACCAACCCCGCTTAGCTAAAGGAAAATCGGGAGCTGTTCGTGCCGTATATAGTGTATAGTGTTTTATTAGCGCGTGCATAAGCACGCGAATTTTGATCACGCCGAAGCTTAGACCTGTACTCGCCGAGCTCAGTGAAGCACAAGAACTTACCAAGCTTTGACACATATTTACGCTCATTTCATAGAACTATTATTAAACTCGTCCAAAAGGTATGTTCTATTATATATTACAAACATAATATTAAGTGTGTGTAGCATTTACACATTTTATATGCCTAAATATATTTTATAGCACTCATTATATTCTGTATAGACAATAATAATCCTCTAAGGACAACGGTTAGAACATATAAATTTCTCGATTTTCATCAGGGAACCTTTAAAAATTACGCTCTAGGATTTTGTTCACTTAATTACAAAATGCATTACAATTGTATTGTTCTAAACGTAACTAAGAAAGTATTATTTTATATTTTTAATTTTATTCATTTAATAGTAGAACTGCTTTAAGGTGCAGTGCAGTAATATATTAATATAACTACAGTAGAAGACTTGTAGGTATTTAGACTACATACATTTTTTATAAGTATTATATATCTAAAGATATATTAAATGTTAATATTGATATTTGATTCGTATATCCGAAATTCCTAAGAAATTTAACAGCCATGTACAAAATTTGCTGTTGAAATTGAATCAAAAAAAAAAATGTTCGTATAATACGTCTGCTTTTTGTGCAGTCGTTTTCAGTTATGGAATAAATTCATATAAATTAGAAAATAAACATCGCATAATAGTTATAGGTCGTATATACAGCCATACAGGTATGTATAGTTCATTTTTGGGGTCTCCATAAATACACACGGACTTTTAGTTTATACATGTATTGTTCCGGAAATCGATGGATGACGTGCAGCGTGGCTTTGGGTGGAATATAGTAGTTTTCCGTTGTCTACCCCTCTTCCCACACAGTCTTCGAAACATACCGAATAATCGATTCTGCCCCATTTCGTTCGTGCATTATATGAATATATATATTTATGTTTTGTGTGTGTAGGCACGATGTCAGTCAGTATATTATTATAATTTGTGTATATAGTATGTACAAGTATATGCATGTTAAGTGTTCGACGAGCGCGATTCAATATAGTTGCGATTCGCCAGTGGTGTGTATCGTGTGTAAAGCGATGTACCTACCTAAATGTTGTGATTGTCATTTTTAGGTGATTCCAAGAAACGGACGCATATAATAGGTACCTATTTAAAAAAAATGTATGCATAACATAATATTATTCGCTATATTATATTATAGCCTATACATATTATTGTTTTAAACGAAATAAGCGTATTTAAATTATAATAATATACTCTCTTAAATAAATACAAACATACATATATATAGCGCGTAAATAATATAATTTGAATTAATACGCACATGGCATCGCATAACTGCGATATAAATTGTAAATATTAACTAAATTTATTAACAATAAAAAAATAACATGGACAGCCATCGTCGGAGTAGCATTGTAGAACCCACGGGTGGTGGTTACGTACCGGATACAAGAAGTCAATTGAACACGGTAAGAGACGAATATTTTCACAGTATTGCACTGCTAGGAGTATAACACAGGTACCTATATACAATTATTATACAGTATAGTTATTGAAAACCTGATAGTATGGAGCCAGAGAGAGCACAACAAATATATATTACTACATGTGTGCTGTGTAAAAATTATTGGAAGTAGATTTACTTATATAAAGAACATTTGACGTTGGCCGGTTATTCTTCGTCTTTTCGAACGAGCCATTCATTTTTTCATACCATTTTGTTGTCTTCAGTCATCAACTGAATATTACTACAAACGTCATACTTTAGCCATACTTTATATTATACCCATTAAAACGTCCTATTAATGAGTTATGACAGACGACAGTAGATTATAATAATATGTGTGTTGAATTTTTTCATGCCAACCCATACTCGATATTTAGAGTGAAATTTTATCACTATACGCAGTCATCTGAGACTCGCTGCAGATAGTTCACGAACCCAATAAAAATGCACTTGTCAAGCAAAAATAATACTATTTATGACATATAATAATATAATAATAGTTAGTGGTTGGAATAACTGAATTGCAAAATGTGCAATTCAAAAACAAGTTGTAGAGTACATATTCATTCCCCGTTCCCCGTTAAGAGGTAATCTTTTTTTGAAGAGCAAAAATACTAATACATAGTTTTTGTATATTTTACAATAGAGGACAATTGAAAATAAAGTAATCTTATAATTTAATAAAGTGGAAATTATAACAGCATTGTAAACATAAAAAACACTTATCATTTTTGACCAAATTAATTTTCCAATAACAAGATAATTATTTGAGAGCGCACTCTCATGTATGTAATATATATACGTTTGTACTTTTTTCATTGTCAGACTACGGTACAACCCAAGCCGCCGCAGCAGAGGGCCCCTGAATTCGGTTCGAGACCGCCGCGTCCCGAATTCTATCAGCAAGGCCCATACGGCGCGCCCAACAGGCCACAGGGACAGCAGCAACGGCCGCCGCCGCCTAGAGCTCCCGGTGACAATAAGGCCAGCCCCTGGAATCTTATCCGGCAAACTCTGCCACCGGACGTCGGGGTCCGTGGTCCACCACAGTTGCAGCAACAGCGTGGGCCGCCACCGCAAAACTATAACAACATTAACAACAGCATGCAACAAAGACCACCAATGCAACAAGAACAGCAACAGTATAGGCAGCAGATGCCGATGCAGGATCGCCGTGGCCCTACGTCTCGGGTCACTGAAGATAGGCCGCTTCCTCAGTTCAGGTCGGAAAACGGTAGACAGGCAAGACCCGTAGGAGGCGGTGCTGATGATGACGAAGAAGTAGTGGTTAACTCTTCCACTAACCAACAGATGCAGCAACAGCCGGCGCTAAATCGAAGAGATTCGACGGTGTTTGCAGGCGGCCGAGTCGGTGACGGGACCACTGACCCTAACAAGCAGTGGCAGCAGAGAGCGGGAGCGCCGGGAACGGTACCGTACGGCAAACCGCAGCCGCAGGAACAACAATACGGTAGACAATCGTTGGTGATACCCGAGGGACAGGAGCAGACACGTTTTCCGACGCAGGCAGCCGGCGGATACAACAGCAACAGGCCCGTGGCGCCGCAAGAGGACGATGGCGGCCTCAACGGTAGTAGACAACCGGCGCAGGTGCAAAATGGCATGCAAAAAAGAGACATGCAACCACAACAACAACAACAACAACAACAACAGCAGCCACAGCAGCAGAAACAGCAGCAGCAGCAACAACAACAACAGCAAAATTTATTGACCAGACGGGACAGCGTGTTGGACTCGAATACTGCAAAGGCCGGGATGGACATGATGTCACGCAGGAACGACGGAATGGCCGAGTACGGTCGGAAGCCAGCGCCTGACTTGCAGGATGAAGGTACAGGTGGCAGGCGGCAGTCGGAGCTTATCGGTGGTGTCCGTAGACCGCTGCCCGCGCAGGACTCGATACAAGAAGATGGGAGACGGCCGGCTGCTGAGTTCAAGAAAACGGAACAGGAAGACGTGAGTGGCAGACGTTTGACGGATTTCAAAAACAACAGATCAGAAGCCGGTCCCGCCGCCGAGTACGGAGCAGCCAGCAGACAGGTGACCCATCCGGACGACAGGCCGTCCGTCAGAGATTACGAACAGTCGCGTCACGAGCGCAAAGCGTCGCTGGAAAAAGATCAGCCTGTCCAGAGGCCGACTTCTGTGGAACACGGCAACCGGGCGTCGGAACTTCGAAAGTTGCACTTCGAAGCCACTCATTTGAAAGCGGTGAAGGAGCAACCGCGCGCGGCCAACGACGACGGCAGGGTAGCCTCGGCGCGGGGTAGGGAGCCGCCAGTGGATGAGACGAGAGCTAGGGATTACGCGGCCGCGGCTGTGAGGTCGACCGGCGACGGTGACCCGCCAAACGAACGGTACAGAGCGACGTTCGCCCCGGCGGCGGACCGCGTTGCTGGCGGAGACGACGAGGTCGTGCAGCAGTTGAGTAAAAACTCGAGGCCCGATACTTTAAAAATAATTAAAGGTATTATGTATATACTTTTTCCAGCAGGCCGATTGCACGCACTTTATATTATAGTCGCCATCCATATAATTGCAGAATATTTGTTTATTAATTAATTGTACGGGCCCAAGTCCTTTGAATATAATCGCATTTAATTGCTTACGTTAACAATAATTTCAACCACAGACAAAACGTGGCGTAACAATATTAGCATGATTATTATAAGGTTAACTTTATAAAATAACAAATACTAAAATCAAATTAAGAATATTTGTTTTACTCACAACATAATTGATTTGTGACTTGCAGTATTTTTTTTTTTTTTTTTTTTTTT